AACCAGTGAAACCTCTCTCCTTTTACATTCCATTCCTCTTTCAACAAATACCAAGAGGTGGTTCAGTACTAAATGACTAAAAGTCTCTAAACAAAATTTGTAAACTGCAGAACCCACTGCTTTCAATCCCCATCACAACCTCAGTTCCCTTGCCACTGACTCCATCTTTCTCTTGGGCCATTATCGGAGACTGGATGGTCCAAAGAAACTTGGCATGCTGTTAGGACACATTCACTTGACCACCAAGATTGTCTGCATTCACCTCAACTATTTTCACACATGCCCAAGCTCATTGCCACTAAATCCCTGCTCTATGTTTCTATTACCTCTATTTCACTGCTCTCAAAGCTAATTTCTCATGTATCCTCTCCATAAACTTGTGCTCATCCAAAGCTGAGCTGTTTGTGTGTTAAATTCCAAGCCACAGACTAATTATGGCATATGCAGCCTATTGAGTCTATGTTGATTTTGTTAAGTAATCCAACCATTCCATTCCCCTGCTCATTTCCATAGCCCCACAAGTTTATTTCCTTCAAATTCCCATCCAATATCCTTTTGAAATCATCAGTCTCAACTTCGGCGACTCTCCTAGGTACTGAGTTCCAGATCATTATTAGTCTCTGCATAACGAAGTTCTCATTCATATTCCACTCCCCCAGGTTCAGCCTATACCGGTTTCCAGTCAGGCAATTGGTAGACTTCAAATTGTCTGTTACAAATTCATCCATTGCCTCACTTCCAACGGTGGGCTCTTCCAACTGTGTGGCCTCTTGCATACCAGAGTTTAACGGTTCTACCATTGGCCACTGTTATTAGCTGCCTAAATCCTAAACATAAATTCCCTCCTTGAAGAACTCCACTTCTTTTTTAAAAAATGTGTTTCTTAGAACTTTCCTTCTTTGTTGTGCTTATGTTACCTGTCTTAATACATCATGCAGTTCAGTGTTAGACAATACCTTTAACATTTTATGAGGTTATAGACATATAAATACATCTTTTGGTTGGGCTTATTGATAGCCTGCTATAAGTCACCATGTTGTCCTCTTGTCACAATGCATCCATGGCTCACCCAGAAGAATGTTGTTAAAGCTATGTCATTTAGTCAATGGTAGATCATTTTCTGAATTGTTTGGTATGCTACAATTAGCAGCTATTAGAGAACATTTTGTTTCACAATTAAGTAAGCTATCTAAACAATTCCTTCCATGCACATTCACTACATCCTTCAAATTTGCCTAATCTTTCACTCTCCTCTGCCTTGATACACTTTATTATAAGACACTTGTCCTATTTTTGGTTTCTTAATGTTAATTTGTGCCATTGTATCCACCAAATGTTTTCACATTGACTAACTGATTCCCAAACAAGCCTTATTGCTGGAAGGTTAATATACACAATGGGCTGACACAAAAGCAAGGAGAGAGATTTGGCACATCTCGTGAGAAAATGACAATATCAACTGACACCCTCTGCTTAAGGCAGATGAAGAAGTGTAACAAATCAAACTGCAGCCAAAACAAAAAAAAAGTTCTGGTGTTTCATAGGGTTTTAATTTAGTAAATTTATTTTTAAAAGCTTGTGTAGTATGTTGCCGACAATTGCCTGATTGATTCAAAAAGTACATTCCTTTGGTTGCTTATGGAACAGAGTACAGGCATACTCAACCAGATAATGTTTGAAAACCTCAAAGGAAAACATCTAATGCTGGATGTGATTTTGTTCAGTATGTGCTGCCCAACCCTGAAAGCATGAATAGTTACAGTAGAATTCAATAATTAGTCAAGTATATAACACAGTTCATTTAAGATTGCTAGAAGTGATATATGCTCAAGCACAGGGACCATTTTTTTCTGCAAACAAGAGGAACATGTTCAAACTCTGTCTCTTCTGAGTTATCAAAGAGCTTTGGAAATTTCTTACTTTTTCCCAATGGCAATGCCTTAGCCAGAGTCAATCAATTGGCACCTTTTTCTCCAGCAGCCTAAATTGCTGGGATTGTTTAAACTTTGGCATTTGAGTGTTTGTCTCAATGAGTGCAAGACAAAAGGCTACAGCAATATGCCACTTTTTTTGTGAAATATACAAACTACTATTATAATATTTAAGTGGATGCAGTTTCATTTTCAAAAGAGATTTCTAATTAAAAAGAAATCAAAAACAAAAGCAAACATTAGATTTTTTTGAAAATACGATGAAAATTGAACTAATTTTGGATTTTAAAAGCCAATGTGGAATTAGAATGTCTCAGAACATAAAGATGTGAAGCATTGAGAACCAACTGTCATTATAAGAAAAATTAACTGGCCTTTGCAGAAGAAGAAAGTTTTCATTTTATACAGATGAATATTTTGTTATAAGGTGATAATTACCCAATCAAGTCTGGAGACTCTCCGAACACGGGAGAAACTAAACTGAGTGTACAAATTTTTATTCATGAGATTTCAAATTAATAAAATAATTACTAGAACGCATAAGCTCTATTCAATTCCCAGAATTTGATAAAAACAAGAGTAACAGGCTTACGATATATAAATTCAAAAACTTCAAATCCAAATTAACCTTTTAAAACCAATAGTTAGGCTCTGTCATTTGTACAAAAGTTACTTCAATTTAAGCCTTTTAATTAGAGTTGGCAGGATGGTGAATTTCTGTTTAAATAAAATCCATGACTTGAAAGCACCAAAACCAGAGCCTAAGCAAACAGCCTCTCTGTTCTTATGCTGACAACTTACTGGCAGATAAATCCTGAAAAAGAACACCAACGTCTGTTTGTATTTAACAATCCCAAGTAATAATAATATGCACATATTGCTGTACATGACCACAAGATCCATGATGAGCATCCAAGCACATTCTAAGATGAGAACACAGACAAAACATCCCAAGGCACTTTTTACAAAAAGCACAATCAGATAATGAACTAAAGAATACCTAATGTTATCACTTTTCCTTTGCAGAAGGTAATCCTTTGCGTGTTTCAGCCTGCTAACTGACATAAGCCACTTGTCAAATCTGAACAGTTTTCTTATCAATTTTCAGACAAAAGTTTTATTTTCTCCACGTCTGCTCCATGCTAGGAGGCCTGGTCACCTAGTGCCAGACCACATCCAATCTTCCGTCAGTTGTCCAGTGAAAAATAGAGGTTCTCTCTCTGTGCCCTGTAACCCTTTCAACAGGCCTCTCCGAACTTCACGTCGCATTTCCCTACAACAAGCCAGCCATAATTGGGAATATTCAACCACTATTTTTTAAATTTTGAACATTATGAAATGCTGAAATACAATGCATCACACAATGAGAGTACTGTATTAGCTCATGGTAATATTAGCTATCCAAACATTGAGAAACATACAAAGCGGAATAGAATTCATACACGTAGAGTGTATTCTTGCAAAGTAAATTAGGTGTAAACCACGTTGTAATGCACTAAGGCCATCAGAAATAAGAACAGGAGCAGGCCATTTGACCCCACCAGCCAACTCTACAATTCAGCTAGATCACTGATCTCAACCACCTTGCCATTTTCCCAAATTATTTTCATTCTCTTGATGTCGTCAATATCTAGAAACTGGTCACTGTCTTGAACATGCTCAACAACTGTGCCCCTGCTGTAAAGGTGAAAGCTTATATCCACTGGTACCAGCAGGCTACTCAGCCTTAAAAAAGATCCAGCACAGCCAAGTGCAATCCTGTACTTACGTAACATGCACAAACCCTCCACTTCCAGCAGGCACGCTGTGTCACTTAACAGTGTCACTCCTTGCAAGTATGTCATGACCTTTGTTGGAAAAAGACAGACAAATGCATGTGCAGTGATGACCTCTTAAGGATAACTATGTTCTTTCTATCACTGGTTCTCAGTCGCAGAACAGCTAATTGAAGAAACAAAAGGCCAGGGAATTGTGCTCACTATTTCCAAGAATGAAGAGGGAATACAAAGCGATTATAGAAATTGGTCGAAGGGTAATATGGTTAGGTAAAAATATTTTGACTTGCAGAGATTGTACAATGAAGCTATCAGCGTAACTGAATGGAGAAGGTAGTAAAAGTACCAGCAGCAGCTTAGGGATAACAGTGTGGAGCTGGAGGATCACAGCAGGCCAGGCAGCATCAGAGGAGGAGGAAAGTTGATGTTTCAGGTTGGGACCCTTCTTCCTGCTCCTCTGATGCTGCCTGGCCTGCTCCGTTCCTCCAGTTCCATACTGTTATCTCAGACTCCAGCATCTGCAGTTCTTGCTATCTCTCAGCAGCAGCTTAGATTATAATTCATGCAAAGTATTGATTTTGTTTAAATTAAACCATAAAACATAAGAATTCAATGCAGATGATAATTTCAGGCATCATGTGTCAGCTTATGCTCCCGAGTCAGTTGCAGTGCCAAATGAAAAGGAAAACTTCCTCTACGTTGCCCATCTTCAACATCCATCTTTTGCACCTGTTTGACATCTGTCCCATTCCTCACATCAGCCATGATGAGCAAGTGACAATGGCAATTAAATGTCAAGTAGAAGCAATTCTGCGCTGTAGGTCCATGCCCATTAAGTTTCGGACTGAGACCGCCCATACATTTCACTAACCCTAATAGTCAGCCCACAAAAGATTTATGTCTAGTTTGCATGTGCATCAATAAAAACAGAATTCCTACAATTTCCAGATGTGTACTTGAAATTAGGCAAATGACTAAACTAGTATAAACCCTTCCAGCATTCGCTGAACAAACCAAAACATTTCGACAGTTAAAATTTTAATGGTGAAGAGTTGCTATAATTCTATAACTTGGAAAATACCTTGCTGTATCCAATTAATTGTGCAGGTTAAAACACATGCAAGAGATTGTTTAGAATGTAGGTCAAACATTTCAAAGTTAGGTTTGAAATCTTTGTTTCAAAAATGCAAATAGCCCAGTTGTATCGCGGCAGAACTTCCAAAACAAAAACTTGAAAGTTGGGTGCTTAACATGTTCATCATTTTCTATTTCCATTGAATAACACAGTACTCACTATATCTAAAGCCTCCCAAACTGTCTGAAGACATTCCAATGTATTTGTCTTTGTTTCTCTTGGCTTTCTTCCGTTCTTCCCGTAGCCGATCATCATCCTGTATAAAATCCACTAATTCTTTTACCTTCTGTCTCACATTTATTCCTTGGTCCTTGCCATTCTCATCTGAGATCAAAAGTGAAAATTAGGTGAATAAGAACATTTAATAAATTACATCTATGAACAAAACAAATAGACAACACGAAATCTAGCCGGCCAGTATCTGGGTTGAGTTTACTACAAATATTGAAGCACCATCTAAGGACTGTTTTGGTGCAGTGGAATTGTCCCTACCTTTGGGCCAGAAGGCCTGGGTTCAAGTCTCATCTGTTCCAGATGTCAGAACAAGTTGATTAAAAATATCTGAAGTGGTGGATACCGGTACAGTTACAACATTTAAAAGATATTTAGGTAAGTACATGAACAGGAAAGGTTTGGAGGGCTATGGGCCAAACGCAGGCGAGTGGGACTAATTTAGTTTGGGAACATGGTCAGCATGGACTAGCTACCAAAGGGACTGTTCCCATGACTTCAGTCTATCATCTAAGGTCAACTGACGTCAACATTCCACAACGTATCTGTCCACGTTGTTGACATCATGTTCCATCAGCTGCAGAGCATGAACAGAAGGCCCTCTTTGAGGCGTCACAGCTGTGTATATGTTGCTGACATTGCTACCCTTTCCACTTGCTGAGGATGGGGAAGGACCTGGGTAGGAAGCTGGGGCCAAGGCTGAATGGGGCCTGGGAGATTCACCAACAGGAACCTCTCCTCCCCAGTGTCATGTCTCAGCTGCTGCGTTGCCGTCTGGTCCTCTCCAGCCTTCACACTGAGTAAAAAGGGGGCCTTCCTTGAGCCAGTTTGCCATGCTGGCTGCTGAGTTTCTGGAACTTGCACGATGAGTTGGCAAAGCGGACCAGCAGAAACAAGAGAACAGATGCAATAGCCCCTTCTTTGGGTACAGCACCCCACATAGAGGAAGGGCTCCTCTCCAGGCAGCATAAATCTGGAGGACACCAGGCAGCGAGAGAAAGTGAGCGCAGTAAAGTACAGGCAGCTGAGTAGACACTATTGGGAAAGGGAGGCTCCTATCCATCAGCCCTAGCCTCCACCTCACCCAGTCCAGGATCACACTTCTGGATTCAACTTTCAACATGCTTCCAGAAACCAACTGTACTGTTTTCCATCACTCCATAATTACATAGAAGGCCTCTCCACTTGAGCATGCTCAGACAGCATTTGTAGCTTGGCAGAAAATTTCACTATGAAGATAGCACGAGGCTGGATGAACAGGCAAGTTTCAAGCCACTAGTATTCCAAACTATGGAATTAATTTTCTCCACTTCCCTCTCATGACTCATAGGTATATAGGTCCATCCAAACCTCAGTTCTTCTGCAAATCACCTGTTTTTTCTCCAATCCATATGTTTTAACATCCGCAGACGATTCTAGAAAACCAATATCCTAATTCCTGTGAATAAGCATTTCTTAGATAACACCCAACTGTAATGTATAATGTGAAATGTGAAAGCTTGGCTAGGTATTCAATTCCTTTGTCACAAAATATCAGGTTTGAAGCAACTGTCATTCGAGTATGTGTGTTTTTCTTTTAAAAAAAAATAGAAATTGAAAGAAAAATGGCACGTGTTTATAATTTCAGAATGAACAAAATGTCGTGCAGCTATACAAATTACATTTTTCAAGAAACTGCCTATACAAAATTAGCTGTTTTATTAATTAGATAAATAATTAAATGACAATTTTTGATAACTCCTTCTGCCTAAATTGAACCATTGACCTGCATCTGAACATTTCTGTTGATCTAGCAAAATGTGTCCATATATTAGAAAAGGTACCTGGGTTATTAGGCTGTACATCTACATCTGACAAAGTCTAATAATATCAGTTTTATTTCAGTCTTCAAGATTTGACTTTAATGTCAAAACAATAAAAACATGGCCTTATTGCCACTGCACTGTAAATACTATTTGCAGATATCCTTGCTTCTTCAAACAGATTAGTCTGTGTTGGTGTATAACCTTTCCTTCCTGGGTAATTAAGGCAATTTCTTTATGAGCATCACAGGGGAGTCATAGCTGTTGTGTTTTTTTTTTAAAAAAAGAAAAACCTGAGCACTCATGTTGTGCTAGTTGTGTTGTTATTACCATGTCCTTTCTGTGAGTTCTTGTCTACGCTAATTAATACTCTAGGGTCCCCAAATCTCAGATTCTGTACACTTCAGATAGTGCCACTAGTCACATTCTAATTAGTGATGGAAGCTGATCTACTGGCTGAGGTGACTGACAACTCTGCTTGCTGTTATAATTTGCTCAAAGCTTTTTGTTTTGCTCCCTAGCACTCAAGGTTTGCTCACCTACAAAATGGTAGTTCTCCATCGACCGCAAATCGTAGATGTGTTCTCTGGCGCTGGTAACTACTCGTTCTGACCCATTTCTTATGAGGTAAGCCAAAAGAAGCAGGGACTGTAAAGGGAGAAGGAGGAGAAAGAAAATAAAACATGATGACAGAAAAGTGTTTCATGTTTGTGAGAACAAAGTCACACCCTGCCACATTGCAATGATTGCTTTCTGCATTAATAAAGTACCGTGAATGTCAGCAGTCAGTGGGAGGAATTCCCTGCACAAATCAAAATTGACAGCTGTGTGATTAGTTTACCAACTGAACAGAACATAAATAAATGTGCCTTGCACACAAGTAAAAATTAAAGAGATATTGATGTATTCACAACATACTAATTAGCAGCATTCTTCTGAGTGAGATGGTAAAACAGTGACCTGGTCTGCCAATTAGTCAGTGCATACAGAAAATATTTATTTGTTATTACTTGTAATAACTGGAAAACATACCCTTCCACTTGACACCATGCCCCTGCACAATGAGGGCAGTATTTCCAAGGCCCTATCACTACACACAGCAACTTAAAATTCTAATATCCAAGGACTGAAAAGAGAAACACATATGACAGGAAATGTGTTGTTACAAAACTTAAGATCCATAAACTGATCTCTTACATCAGTACCATTTGATGAAAACAAAATACTTTGCGCCTTCTTTAATGAAGGCATTTGACCCCCCTCTTGACAAATAAAGAAAGTTAGATCCACCATCAAACAATGTGTCAAACCTGCCACATAATGTAAACCAACAAATTATTTTTTGAATTATGAGGCACAGATCAGCAGTCAACTAGTCATTAGGGAGTTTCTCCTCAGGTACAGGACTTCCTCTTAATCTCGAATTTCATTACAGTTGACACCAAAAAGACAAGCAGGTATTACAAAAAATAAAAATCTACAAAATGACAACACACTACATAATATTCTGTGCTTCTGCTACAACCCATAATTGAAACGGCTCATCAAAGCTTGCACAATAACAGTGGGAGGTTGAGGAAATACACAACCATCTCAGATCCCAGTCTGTCTTAATGGTCACTGCATGCACAGAAAGTGAGATTTTCTTTAAACAGCAACTTTGCAAGTTGTCATCTTGACAAAGTGCAGCTTTAGATTGAAGGGTGAACAAAGTGTGTTGTTAATTTAAAAGGGTACAAACTGGAAAAATTAAGTAATCTAATTATTTTGTGTAAAATTTGGTTTTGAAAAC